GTACTAGCATAGCCTGTCTAGGCTTGTATTTACATTTCTCTTGGCGTGTATACTGGCTACTGACGGCCAGAGAAGAGTATAACAACTGTCTACAGTGTTAGTGCATGCAACACAGCGCGCTTCGCTGTGCTTGCATGTGGGGTCCCAAAGGAAGCTGCAGCTGTATAGCTTTCTCCGTCTCTAGGTTTTCTGCGTCTTCCTACTTGCGAGCATGCTGGCCACTGAGGGCCAAGCACCCGCTCAGCAATCGTCTATGGTGTTAGCGCATGCAAGTATAGGGCTTGGTTGTGCGTGCATATGGAGCTTCGTTGCTGCACGGGTTGCAGCAGCTTGTGGTGCAACTCGTGCCAGGATACCGCCTCTTCCCTGGCCCCAAGCCCTTGGGCCATGAGTCCCAGGCAGCCTGGTGACTGCAGAAAAAGTCAGTGGTTTTTATATCTTATAAGTACTTTGACTAGATTGCAGTTTGCAACTGCACTCAGAAAAGGCCTCGGACTCTCGTTCCAAGCAATATGTTCAGAAACTGAAACTTACGAGAGGCTGGTTCCTCTCCACGCCAGCTCCAGGCCCGTGTTCGCCTATTTTCATGGACCTTGAGGAATGGCGGGGAGCTCAGCTGCTTTTGGGAACTAGTATCTTACGTCTCTGACTCTACTGCTGTAGGATTGATTATAGATCTGATCTGAACAATATGATCTAGGCATGCCGTGGGTTGCCCAGCCAGGGGAGGCTGTTACGGTTCGTATTCTATGAAGCAATGAGAGAGTGCACATCGCAGGGCTCCCAATGCCATTTATATCATTTGCCCTTGCAAAAGAGAAATGGTATCCCAGGAAACAATGGGCCGAAGGCGGCCATACACAGCGGCGAGAAGCTGCAGAAAGCGGTGGAGAAACACATGAATTCCGCCGTGGCGGTTTCAAGAGAATCGCAGTTTGGGGAGCTAGGAGCGGATGCGCCACCAGCCGCCCTTTTTCCTCGCCAACACCAGATTGTGTAGAAAGGCGCTAGTTGACTGCTGTGCTTTGCCCTTTCCTAGAAATTCATCCGCTTGCCGCTCAATTTACTCTCCAAAATGGGGGCATCACCGGTACCTTGGAACGAAACTTCGGGCTCCACCGTGAACGAGTTGAGTGCGGTGCATTGAGCCTCCAGCGGGTGACCTGCCCACCGGTAGCTCTTTGTTATTGAATGCATTTGAGAACTCTTCCTTCAATTGTGCCAGTTTCTGCCGTTCCTCATGTGCTAACTGGAATAAATTCCTCAAGACTGTGGCCTTCGCCAGAGCATCACGAGGGGGTGCATAAATATCTCCGTCGTTCCCTTCATTGCATCTGCTCTGCATGAGGGCATCTGAGCTCAGCTGCCCCTGAGAGAGAGAAGATCTACTCTTCTGAGCATAGAAGGTGCAAATGCAGTTGGGAGTGCAGAGAAGTGCACATTCTCATCACTTCCTGAGGAAAAGGCTTCTATAACTTCATAAGATGAACGCATTTGCTGCTTTCACTGGGTCGCCCACCATATGCCTAGGCTACTGCCTTGTCCTTGTCATGTTAATGTACCAAGTTTTGGACTTGTCTTCACCGAGAAGTGATATTTCTCTTTGTAAAGCTCTAGCGACGGCTTCACTTGCTTAGATTTTCTCAGTTCCGCCATAGCCAGCTCCCACCGCCGTGTGTCCCCTTATAATAAAGCCAAAAGTAATTGTATTTCTTGCGCTGAGTTTTCTAGGAGGAGATACAAGTCTAGGGAACGAACGACCTCTGCGTTCCAGAGTTCATCATATCGCGGTGCTCGGCGCAGTCGTAGGCATGCCTCATGAGTTNAAGAGGCTAAAATGTGAAAGATTTTGTTTAAGGAAAAGAAAATTGTTTTTTATTTGATTTTATTATTATTATTTCAGCTATGCACGAGGCCACCACGTGACGATGAGATTTGTGCCCCGGACCTGCCCCGGTGAATCAGAGGGTGCTACAAAGAGTAATGCGTGCTTTCCTGCTTTGTAGAAGGAGAAAAGCACGCTCCAATGAAGGTAAAGGCTTCATGCACGAGTGCGTCACACAGCAGCTGACCTCGCTCCTTTGTCCCCAGGCATCCTGGGCGATGAACTCAGGGCCTGAGGTTGTGAAGGACAAGGCAGCCTAATTGGAGTTGCAGCACACCTCGCTGGAGCTGGCTATGCAAGCCAGCCTCTACCGAAGCTTCCGTTACTGCATGCTTTGCCTGAGAATCCACTTGTAGAACGCTTCCGTCTCTCTGCATCAAACGTAGAGAGGCCTAGTGAATGCTCCCATGCTAACCGCAGGCGGATCAAGCTACAATATAACTGCATTTATTTTGGTTCAGTTTAATTTAGTGTAGCGTTGTCAGCGTGCGGTTGGCGCAGGAGCATTCACGTGAGCTTGCTAGGTTAGCTTCAAGCAAATACAAACGCCTTATAAGCGTATACAGAGGTAAAGGATACACTAAAGGGAGCTTTGTGAAAGCTTCCTTGTGCACACACGTGAGGCTGGCTTGCATCGCCAGCTGCGGCGAAGTGCACTTGAACTGCGGCTATGCTGCATCCCCCCCGGCAACTCCAGGCCCTCATATGAACGCCCAGGATGTGTGAGGACAGCGCGGGGAGGTCAAATGCTTTCTGAGGAAACTCTTATTTCAAGCTTTTGGGTTCACTGCAGCTCGGCTTAGTCGTTGACTAGGGCGGCACAGCAGGCAATACATGTATTAGAGTGTAATTTGATTCTATTTGAGTGTATGAAAGTTAATAGAATTTAATGTAATTTAAATAAATATAGTTTAATTTAATTTGTGTTAATATAATATANATGAAAGTTAATAGAATTTAATGTAATTTAAATAAATATAGTTTAATTTAATTTGTGTTAATATAATATAATTTATTGATTTGTATGGAAATTGATAGCTTATATGGTGTTTGTTTGCTCTGTTGTATGTTCCCCCTCGCATGCCCCCCATTCCAGCCCATGCGGTGATGCGGGGAGATTCTGTCGCAGAAGCTGGGGGATTCGTTGTGGGGTTTATTGATATTCATTGCTTATTTATTCAAGTTTCCCATCGACAGCACCGGTGCTGGTGGGACCCACATGCTTACCTTGCGGGCGTGCCTCGCAACAGAGAAAAAAAACGGGTACAGAGAGGGGGCAAACTGGTTGACGCCTCTCTTCATTCTTTTTGCCCCATAGGTTTAATATTTCTTTTCTTTTTTGAAATTGAAAAAACCAGAGTTTTCTCTGGTTTATACCGCTGAGTTCACTCGGTTCTTGCCGTTCTTCTCCTGTACTCTGCCGTAGTATATCACACGACACCTTTTTCAGGTGTATAGACACCCCTTTTTGACCGGCGACGAACGAACGTGCTTCATTGCAAGAAAGCGCGAGATTTTTGCATATATGTTACAGCTTTTCCGCTACAACTTCTTCTTGCGGCTATTTGTCGCATTTTTCCTCTTTATTCAACTTTTTTCGCACATCTAGGCATCTAAATACCAGGCCAACTACTCGGAGCCGAGAGCAGGCCAAAAGACGCCGTCGCCGCGTGCCTGAGGATATATATAAAGAAGGATTTCAATTGGAATTCTCTACAAAGTAATCACTCCTTCTACTCAATCTGAGTAGTCTTTATCTATGAAATGACTCGCCGGAAGCGTTTATCTATCAGCTGCGTTCATATTGCACCGAGAAAGAATAGGGGTTTCACAAAGGATCCACTATCTTATACAAAATACAAGGGAAAGCATTCAATAGGCGAAGGATATTCAGCTCTTTGTGTGTAAGCTACGGTACGTGAAGCACCGCCAGCTAGAGCCTTGCAGGCAGAGATTTCTCTTTATCTCTCTTTTCTGCAGGGTTCGTTGTTTTATTCGTTGGATGTGATGATTCTTCACTGATTAAGTTTATACTTTATCAGCACCACCACCATCACCGACAGAAGCGAAGGTCTATCTGTTGTTGTTGCTCGGGGGCAATGGCCCTCCCAGCTGTCGCCGTCAGGCTGAGGGCTCCCGTGCATGCTGCTGAGGGGGGCCCTTCTGTGGTCCCCCTGCGGCCTGGGTTTATCCAGACGGAGACGAGGGATGGAGCGCATGCACAGCAGAGCATAGAGGTATCAGGAGACGGCTCAAACGATTCAAACTGCCGCCGCTGCACAAACTGCAGCAGCGGTGCAGCAGCAGGTGCAGCAGCAGCAGCAGCAGCTGCTGTAGCAGGTGCAGCAGCAGCTGCTGCACCTGCTGCTGGTGGTGTTGGGGTCCGATCATCGTCATCTCGTAAGCCCTTGTTTGAAGTATCTGCTGCTGATGCATCTATTGTTGCTTCTGTTGCTGCTCTGCTGCAGCATCTCGGTATGCAGAACAGCTCAGAGGGGTGCGGGGCCCCCTGCTTCCTAAGTGCAACAGAGCCAATGATAAGCATGCCTGACTACCTAGAACGTTTAGCTCGGTTTTTTCAGTGTAGCGGCGAGTGTTTCGTGCTGGCCCTGGTGTATATCGACAGACTGCTGCAGATGAACAGCAACGTCTGGCTGTGCCCACTAAACCTTCATCGTCTGGCGGTGACGGCGCTCATGGTTGCAGTTAAGTTCGCCGATGATACATTCTACTCAAACGCTTACTACGCAAAGGTTGGGGGCCTACCCCTCCAGGAGATGAACCACCTAGAGGCCACGCTGCTGCGCATGCTGCACTTCAGGCTGCATGTTATGCCGTGGGAGTTTCACAAATATTTTAAACTTGTATTAGACTCACCCTTTGCTACACGCCGACCCCGGGCTATATGCACCAGCACCAGCACCAGCAGCAGCAGCAGCAGCAGCAGCAGCAGCAGCAGCAGCCAGCCGTCATCGCCCCCATCCGCTGCATCTGTTGAGGACGGATCCAGCAGCAGCAGCGGGAATAGAAGCAGCAACAGCAACAGCAGCAGCAGCAACAGCAGCAGCAGTAACAGCAACAGCAATACGAATCTTGATGGTTTGGGTTGCGGCAGCAGCAGCAGGGGCAGCAGCAGCAGCAGTGGCAAAGCACCGCAGCAGCAGTGCGGCAATACGTGCTGCTCTCCGTCTTCTTCTGGCTCAACAGGATGCTTCTCTGGCAGCTCCCAGTCCGTATCCCCCCCCTCAACCCCTGAGGCTTCTGCTGCAGCTAAGTCTCCTCTGCAGCAGCAGCAGCAGCAGCAGCAGCAGGAGTTATCCAGCAACAACAACAGCAGCACCAGCAGCAGCAGCAGCAGCAGCAGCAGGAGTAAGAACAATACTAGTAGTAGTAGCAGCTGGTGCTCACCAGAACAGCTGGTGAAGCGTACAGCTGACGACGATCACCACCCCCATGAAACACATATAGAGAGAATAGGCTGCAAGGGGGAGGGGCCCTGGGTACCCTCAGCAGCACACTGCGGGGCCCCGCAGCCAGCATCTATGTGAAGGGTTTTGTATTGTATTCTATTATAAATAAATAAATAAATAAAATAAATAAAATAAATAAATTAATAAATTAATAAATAAATAAATTCATACAGAGATCGCGGCCATCATGCTGCTTCTCTTATATATGCAGCTGCGGTGTATATGCAGCTGCGGTGTATGCACAAGTCTTTATATATTTGTTGGGTTTCAATGTCTGTCGTTTTAAACAGGCAGAGCCGAGTAATTTATTTATTTATTTATTTATTTATTTATTTATTTATTTATTTATATTTATTTATTTATTTATTATGGAGCTGAGCTCACTAAAACTGCGGCTTTCTCTTTCTCTATAGAGACAGAGAGCAGCCTGCAAGTAGTAGTAATATACTAACACAGACAGCAGCACACACTCACAACAAAATACTATAAGAAGCTCAGCAACACATACATACATATATATATATATATATATATATATATATATATATATATATATATATATATATATATATATATGTATGTGCCGCTGTGCCTTCACAATGCACAGAGGAGATATTTACTCTTCTCTATTGTTTTTACATTTGAAACAAAACTTTTCGTATACACTCAAAGCAAATGTTTTACACAGCAATTCCGGTCCACTGGTTCCTAGGGGTGCTGCAGCAGTAGCGAGCTGCAGTAGAAGTAGCGCTGCAGCAGCAGCAGCAGGAGTGCTGCAGCAGCAGCAGCAGTGCTGAAGCAGCAGTAGTGCTGCTGCACCAGCAGTAGTGCTCCAGCAGCAGTATTGCTGCAGCAGAAGTAGTGCTGCAGCAGCAGTATTGCTGCAGCAGCAGTATTGCTGCAGCAGCAGTATTGCTGCAGCAGCAGTATTGCTGCAGCAGCAGCAGTATTGCTGCAGCAGCAGCAGCAGCGTGAATGGTGGATATTATTCACTGCTGTAGAACAGCGTCAACAATAGCTTGCAGCACAGCTGGGCTTCTCCCCGCTGCTGCAGCAGTTATGCAGTTTCCCACTCTTATGCTGAGCGCGGCGCTCTCCGCGCGGACCCAGACCCGGCCATTGAGGCCCGTGGCCATCTCAAAGGGGAGGCGCTGCCCCAGCAGCTGCAGCACCAAGCTATCGCGACACAGCAGGCTGCAGCAACACATACATATATATATATATATATATATATATATATATATATATATATATATATATATATATATA